AGTAGAAAGCCCTGAGTACAGGTGACAGAAACCAGCCCACCTTGAGGGCTTGGGGAAAAGTATGGGAAGAGTTGTGTTAAGAAGGGAAGGAGCAGGGCTGAGAGATGGCTCAGCAGATAAGAGCACAGGCTGTTCTTCCAGAGGACCTGGATTTGGTTCTGAGCACCACATGGCATCTAACCATCTGTAACTCCAGTTCCAGGGCATTCAACACCTTCTTCTGACCTCCGTGGGCACTGCATAAAAATAAATCCAAAACAAACAAAACAAAACAAAACAAAAAAAAAGGAAGGCGTGGAAGACGCTGTGCAGGACTGGCTGGGGAAGTGAAGAAGTCAGAGCACCTGCCTCTTCAGGGCCCTGGTCACTCTGATCAGCTCTCAAGACCTGGAGAGGCAACCACAGTGTACAGGAAGAGGTACCAAGTGTCAGGCCAAACAGTGAGTTAGGACCCATCATCATCCAGTTGTTTCCTCAGTTTTCCTCCTGAGTCTGCATTTGGGTTTTAGGGACAAGCTATTGTAGGAATTGGTAACTGAAGGGGAGGAAACCCAAATTTCAGAGCCTTGAGATTGCCTCCCACCCCAAAATTAGGTATGACTAGACAGGAGAAGCAGTTAAGCTTCTGATCTGCCCAGGTGTGCAGATAACTTAGAAATTAAACAGCAGTAAGACCAATGCTCATTTCTGGACATCTATGACTGAACAAATCCAAATGGCTATAGTAATCCTATCTTCTTAAATTTTAGCCATTTAAAAATAATGCAAATCATCAAGAGGAAAAGGCAGTGGGAAGTCAAAAGGTACAGCAGACAGATCTGTGTACCTCTGAGGTAACAGGCCGGGGCACTCAGCTTACTTACTTATTGCTGCCGTTCAAGCATGCTTTCTGCATGGCATCAACTGTGTACTGAAGAAATTCATGGGCATCTTCTTGGTTTCCAAAACGGAAATGTCTAGCTATGCCTGTAAAATTGGAGGAAAGACAAGGCTTTATCATTACATATTATGTGCCAAGGACCCCAAACAGCTACATCTTAAAATGTTGCCTAGAAAAGACTCTGCATAATTTTCTGTTTTCTTTTTGAGGCCAGGTCTCATGTATCTTAGGCTGGCCTCAAACTCTCCAAGTAATTGAGGATGACCTTGAACTCCTGATCCTCTTGCCTTCATTTCCTTGCTGGTAGGATTACAGGTGTGCACACCCTGCTAATCTCTCAACTTTTAACAGCTTTTAGGCAAAAGGAGTAGGTAAACACACTTGCTTCTATAATTATCCAGCTAGATGCTTGACTGCAAGTTAATACGTTTTTAAATTTTAGGCCAGATGTGGTGATGCTTGCTTTTAATCCTGGCACTCAGGAGGCAGAGGCAGGTGAGTCTCTGTGAGTTCAAGGTTGACCTGCACTATATAGTGAGACCCTGTCTCAAAAAAAATTGTGTACGTTTATAACTCAGCTAATCAAAAGGATATGAATATTTACTATAAAAAGCACATGATAAACTGGGCATGATAACACATGCCTATACTTCTAGCACTTGGGAGGTGGAGGCAGGAGGATCAGGAGTTCATAGCCATCCTTACCTATATAGTAAATTTAAGGCCAGCCTGAGATCTAGGAGATCCTGCCTCAAAAAAACAAAAGGAAGAAGACTGCACACGCCAGGCAGTGTGGTAAGCTTGTCATCTCAGCATTTGGGAGGCTAACATAGGAGGAATGCCAAGAATTTAGGGCCAGCCTGGGCTACATAGTGAATTCTAGGCCAGCCTGGGCTACAACAGTGTGAGCCTCTACAGTTTAAAAAAAAAAAAAAAAAAGGAGGGGAGAAGAAAAATGAAAAACCAATAGAAGAGGTTGATCAGATCAGAAGACTGATCTGGATCACTATAGCTGATACTTACGCCGCATCTCACTGATGACAAACATAGGCTTGATGACGTCCCCAGGGTTGCTGAGCGCCTGCGTAATGTGCGTTTGCATTGTGCACATCATACAAAACCCTTCTGCATGGCCTGCAAGGCAACAAGAATGCTCCAAATGAGCAGTATGTAGCAATGTGCACATGGGAAGGAGGGGCCATGCATTCTTTTGCCCCCTCAGTTAACCTAGCAAACTTAAGTGGTAAGTATGTATTGGTTCTACTTAGGACAGGAAAAACAGTTGCCCAAGATCAAATATTTATTTTGCAGCAGACACAAACTCAAGTCATAGTAGAGATTTTTGACATAGGTACCAAGATCATGAGTGCAGAAAGGGTTATTCTTCTTGCACAAACACTGCTGGAACAACTGTAGAAACAGACTGGCATAGTTCAAGTAAAGCACCTGCTCAGTATGAGTGAGGGCCTGAGTTCAAACCCCAGGACTGGAAAAAAAAAATTGTTCTTTACAAGAACAAATGAGAAATGGATCACTGGCCCCAACAAGAAGGCTACAAGTATAAAACTTCTAACAAAAGATACAGGGGGAAAAAAATCTCGTGATCTCAGATTAGGTAAAAATTTATTTATTTGCCAAAGGCACACATGCCATAGTGTTGGTGGTCAGAGGAAAACATTTAGGAATTCGCTCCTTCCACTATGTGGGTCCCAGGGTTGAACTCAGGTCATCAGGCTTGGCACTAAGTGCCCTTACACACTGAGCCATCGCACTGACCTAAGATTTCTTAAGAGAACATTTAAACTACAATTGATAAAAATTAAAAAACAAGCCGGGTGTGGTGGCACACACTTAATCTCAGCATTCAGGAGGCAGAGGCAGGTGGATCTCTGTGAATTCAAGGCCAACCTGGTCTACATAGGGAGTTCCAGGCCAGCTGGGGCTACAGGGAGACCCCGTCTCAAAATGACAAAAATAATAATAAATTAAAAAAAAATTAAAAACGAGGAACTAAAAATCCTCAAAACAAAAAATTATTTCCAAAAGACACTGAGGTGAATGAACGACCCCTGCCAGATTGGGAGAAAATGTTTACTCATCTCAGATCTGACAAAAGATACCCAAAATATAAAAAGAACTCTCAAAGTTCAACAATCAGAGTGGAGTATGGTAGCACACAAACATGCATGGCTTTAATCCCAGCACTTGGGATGCAGAGGTAGAAAGATCTCTGTGAGTTCAAGGCCACTCTGGTCTACGTACAGAGTTCCAGGCCAGCTAGGGCTACATAGTGAGACCCCATTTCAAAACAATGAAAGAAAAAGAATCAACAATTAGAAAACTATCCAGTTTTCACATAGGCAAAAGATTTGTTTTGAATGGGGACTGGCGATGTGGTTCAGTTGGCAGAGTATTTGCCTAGCACACACAAGTCCTGTAGTCTATCCCTGACACTCCATAAACAGGACATGGTGATGGATACCTGTAATCTCAGTACTCAGGAGGTGGAGGCAAGGAGGATCAGAAGTTCAAAGTCATCCTCTGCTACACAGCCTGGACTAGCCTGGCCTAGGTGAGACCCTGTCTCAGGAAAAAAAAAAAAAAAAAAAAAAAAAAAAAAAAAAATCCAAAAAAAAAAAAAAAAAAAAAAAAAAAAAAAAAAAAATTTAAACAGGCTTTTCAGCAAAGCAAATATCCAGAAGTGAAACAATCACAAGATGCTTAACAGCACTACTCAGGAGGATGTGCAAAGTAAAGTCATAATAATCAGAAGATGCTACTAAATATCCATGAGGATGGTCAAAATTATGAAGACTGGGCTAAAAAGAGCATTGGCCTAGTAACCATGGGGTTCAATCCCTAAGTACAAGAAAAAAGGCACAAACACATCATGTGTTGGCAAATATATGAAGCAAACAATATTCATTCACTGCTGGTGGGAACTTAAAACATTATAACCCCCTTAGGAAACAGTTCTGAGATATGTTTAAAGTGTATGACTTCCATAGTATGAAGCTGTTTCAGTCTTAGATATTTACTCAAGAGAAATAAAAATATGTGCTTGCAAATATTCAAAGCAGCTTTAAATTTTTTTTTAATTTCTTAGTTCTATTTATTTATGTATTAATTTTTGGAGACAGGGTCTCATGTAACCCAGGCTGACCTTGAACTTACTATGTAGCCGAGAATGACCTTGAACTCCTGATCCTCCTGCCGTACTGTACCTAAGTGTATAGAAACATCATTGGCTCCAAATAGGAAATAAGTCCTCTGTCCATGAATACATTAATGGCCAACCAGAAAGTAGTATGACTTACTCGGGGAATATAGTTTAGCAATAAAAATGAGACCACCGATACACAAAACAGAGTAATGTTGAAATAACTATGCCAAGTCAGGCAACACAAGATAATGTGTACTGTATAACTCCACATAAGCAACATTCTAGGAAACCCAAACTAATCTGTTGTGAAGGAAAATAAGTCAACAGAGGAAGTGAAGGTGGGAGCAGCAGAAGAAGGGGGGACTTCAAAGGAATAATGCATTAGGGAACTTTCAGGCATGATGAATATGTCCCTTATTGTGACTGTGTGAGAGTTTGTTTCAGAGGTATACACAAATGTCAAAATGCATCAGCTTGTGAATTTTGAACACATAATTTATTGTATGTCCATTAGACATCAGACAAATCTGGGAAGGAGAGAGACAGAGAGATGGCAAAAGCAGTCAAGACCTCCAAACTCAATTCTGATTTTCACTAGTCAGCACTGAGCTGGTTTCTGTTCAGTTAAAAGAAATCTCAAAAACCCAGGAGTGCTAGCTCACATCTGGAATCCCAGCACTTACAAGGCTGAGGAGTGTGTTTGCCTTGAGTTGAAGGCCAGCTTGGGTTATATAGCAAGTAACAGGCTACATGAGACCTTGTCTCAAAAAATAAAAATTAAAGCAAAATGAACAGGGGCCTTTGAATTGCCAATTGCTCATGAAATAGCTTTTAAAATACCTCACAGGTCAAATTAGGTGCTACTTGTGTAACCCAAACACAAATCCTAAGATTCTCTACCCCTGTGATCTCTACTTTTTTGTTTTGGTTTTTGAGACAGGGTCTTACTATGTAGTCCTGGCTGACCTGGAACTCACTATGTAGACCAGGCTGGTTTCAATCTCAGAGAGATCTACCTGCCTCTGCCTCCCAAGTACTGGGATTAAAGGTGTATACCACCATGCACAGCTCTACTTTTGTTTCTAAGAGCAAATCAACTTATTGGTGATCGCATAACTCTTGGTTTTTGTTACTGTTTTTTACTGTGGGGCTAAGGGTTGAACTGAAGTCTAATGTGTGCTAAGTGAGCACACTACCTACATACCCCACCCTGTGATCATGTAACTCCACTAAATACTTTCAATAGTAGGTTAGCATTATCATAACACTGCAAACATACATGCGATGGCTCAGAACACTTACATGTCTTGGAGTGTTCGTGTGATAACATATAATTGGCAAGGGGTGGCGTGTAAGTTAGACACTGCAATGCAGCATTGGCAAAACAGGTATTGCCCAAATTCTGGAGCCCAGCGCCAACTCGATGAGTTTGCTGCCACTTTAGACAAATCTTTTCAGATGGAAACAGAACCTTTTGAGGAGGAGCAATGCCATCACCTAGGACTAAAGGGAGGAAGGTTAACAAACAAAGCTTAGATGCTTCAGAAGTCATGCCCAATCAAACTCAAATCTCATCAGGATGCCACATCTTACTACCAGTTTGCAGAGGACAAAGGGACATTTTAAAATTCAGAACCCAGCTAGGCATGGTCTGGCACACCTTTAATCCCAGCACTCATGAAGCAGAGGCAGGCAGATTTCTGTGAGTTGGAAGCCAACCTAGTCTACACAGTGAGTTCCAGGCCAATCAAAGCTGCATAGTGAGACTCAGTCTCTAAATAAATAAAATTCAGAATCCAGGATTCAAGAAACTCTAAACTGATTTGGTTTCTTCAACAAATAATTTTCAAGAATGAAAGGGGTGGGGTGGTGAAAATGAAAGGAACCCTAGGAGACATTATCCACCAAATCAAGGCGCAGCCTTCATTTAGACTAATAAAAAATTTAAGGGCTTGCAAGATGGCTTAGCAGGTAAAGCATTTGCCACCCAGGCTTGATGACCTGAAGTTGATCCCCAAACCCATGATGGAAGCAGAAACCCAACTCTCAAAAGGTGTCCCCTGACTGAGATATGTACCCCATGGCACAGGAGAGCTCATGGTCATGTACATACTCATCATACTCAGACACATACAATAATAATAAATTTTTAAAAATCATATGACAGAGAAACCTGAGTATTGGCTGGATTTTTAATATAAAGACATACTTAATTTTTATGAAAGAATTCTCCAGATGTGCACACTAAAATATTTACAGATAAAATATGAAAGGATTTGCTTTAAAATACTGGGAAAAGATAGACAGCATACATGCTTACCATGTATCTATCCAGTATTTCTCTCTCTCTCTCTCTCTCTCTCTCTCTCTCTCATACACACACACACACACACACACACACACACACAGAGGAAGAGGTCAGTGAGTGGAGGTGTAACTAACTGGCCATGGGCTGATAAATGTCAAAGCTGGCTGATGGCTACATGAGCTATGAACAGACAGACAGAAAGACAGACAGACAGACAGGTAGGTAGGTAGATAAATAAGATAGATGGATGGATGGATGGATGGATGGAGAGACAGACAGGTAGGTATAGATAGATGGGTGGATGGATGGATGGATAGAAAGACAGATAGAAAGATACATACATATATAGATTTGTTGTTTTTGTTTTCTAAGACAAGGTCTTACTATGGAGCCTTGATTGGTTTAGAACTTACCATGCAGACCAGGCTAGCCTTGAACTCAGAGATCTGCCTGCTTTGACCCCGAGGGCTAGGAGGTATGTGCCACCATGCCTGGCTCTACAATTACAATTTTATCTACCTGAAAATTTTCACAATAAGGGGCTAGTAATGTAGCTCAACTGGTAGAGTGCTTGCCTTGAGTGCATGAGATCCTGGGGTTCCAGGACCCCAGCACTGCATAAAACCAGACATGGTGTTGCACGCCTATAAACCAAGCACTCAGGAGAAAGCAGAAAGAGAATCAGTAATTAAAGGCCAGCTTTAGCTACAAAGTGAGTATGAGGCCAATATAAATTGAGTATAATCTCCAAAAAACCAAGAATAAAAGAAACTATTGATATTCTGATTACTAAAAAATGATACATGGCAATAGCAGAGGGATGAATGAATCAATGAATGAATGCTCATTAGAGGAGAACAAAATGTTTTTCATTCAGGTGACAGTACCTCTTACAAGGTCAGCCACTCTCCAAAACTACCTCCCTCCTGAAGCACCTACTCAGGCGTTTCTAGCACTAATTCTTTCTGCAGTCCTACCTTGATCCTTCGGTGGTGACGGTTTTGACTTATCAGGTACAGACGGATTTGAATAAACTACAGCACCAGGTCCTGGTCCTAATGAGAGCGTGTGGTTGGAAACATCACTTAGTGAAGACACAGCACCCCAGCTGGCAGAGCCTGTGTCCATGTCTTCAGGTGAGACTGCCTCAGAACTGCCAGGCTGGTTCTGACAGGTGGATGGGTCTGAGGGTTCAGTTTTGTCAACTGTGGTCATTTTTCAACCCTGCAAAAGACAAAAAGAGTATGTTTGCTTTAAAGATAAAAGAGCAATCCACATACCCTGCCATTAGATCTTGGAAACTTTTTTCTAGTTATTTAAAACTATTTTCAAACAAATCACCCAAATAGAAAACAAAAACAGGGTTGGGCCTGTAGCTCAGTTGGTAGAGTTCTTTCCTAAGATGCACAAAGCCCTGAGGGTTCCATATCCAGCACTGTATAAACCAGGCATGGCCACACAGGCCTATAGTGCCAACACTCTGAAGGTAGATGCAAGAGGATCAGGAATTCAAGGCCAGCCTCTGCTATACAGCTGAACTTGAGGTCATCCTGGTATACAAGACCCTGTCTCAAAAAACAACAAGAACTGGGAACTGGGGTTGGGGATTTAGCTCAGTGGTAGAGCACTTGCCTAGCAAGCACAAGGCCCTGGGTTCGGTCCTCAGCTCTGGAAAAAAAAAAAAAAGATGACAAAAAACCCAACAAGAACTTATTCTATTCCATATCTCCTAAAACAATCTTTCAGTTTAATTAGGAACCTCAATCCCACGCTATATATTTACTAAAGATCCACCATTCCCTCTTTTATTTTGGTCTTTTTGAGATAGGGTCTCCTTGTGGCCACAGCTAGCCTGGAACTCACTATGTAGACCAGGCTGGCCTGGATCTCACATAGACCCACCTACCTCTGCCTCTGGAGTGCTGGCATTAAAGGCATGAACCACCATGCCTGGCTAAGGACCCATTTTTTCATCTCTACTGTTTAAACCTAGGAACATTATCTAGTTTAATGTTTTTCACTACATTTTCAATTTATATACAATTTCTCAGGGGAATGTCTCAACTATGTGAAGCTTTAGCTTTACTTTTGAACCTGAAGTCCAAAATACCACTGTATAAAATATATTAAGAATTTAAAAATTTTTTATTTATTATTTTTATTTTATGTGTATGAGTGTTATGCCTGCCTGTAAGTAAGTGCACCTGTGTCGTGCAATGCCCAAGGAGGACAGAAGAGACCGTAGGATCCCCTGGAACTGGAGTCACAGGCAGTTGTTAGTTGCCATGTGGGTGCTGGGATTCAAACCCAGTCTTCTGCAAGAACAGTGTTCTTAACTGCTGAGCCATCTCTCTAGCCCCATATATAAGACTTTTTAAAAAATGATAATTATATAGTCTTACCAGTGAAACAAGCCCATTTTCCTGATGAAGTCCATTCATATGATATTGTAACTTTTAAAATGAAGTTTGTATCTGTACTAACATTAAATTTTGAACACAAATATGTGAACTTAATTGTAATTCTGTCTGAATCTTACTTTTAAATTGAATTGAGGTTTTTCTATATGCTGGTCATATTAATTGCTGAACACATATTAACTTGTATAACTTTCATAATAAACCATTGAAAGATCAGACAGAATCCGTGGGGTCTATAAAATAAAACAATCATACTGTGTCAAGCTCGTCGGCAACTAGGACAAGCAGCTAGGTCCAACAAATCCAGCTGGGCTTCCTTCTACTAGACACCACCAAGTCAACAGAGTACTTTTAGGAATGGTTCTGAAATCATCAAGACAGCCAAATTGACATGGATCACAGTCCTCAATAAAGCCTCCCGAGAGCACCACACTGCTATCCCCACAGCTCTTCCTTATTACCTGGACTCAGCTACTCTGGTGTCCAGAACACTCCCCACTTTACATTGCTGACACACTGGGTTCATTTTTAGTCCCTGCTCTCTCTGGGCTCTTTCTAAACTACTCTTTTCTACCTATCCTTTTCTTGCTTTCCACCTCTGGTCAGTTAACACTTTTACTTCTCAGGTTTATAATTCATTTTCTTTGGTAAGCTTTCACCTCAATAGTGGGTTAAAAACACATCCTAGAAGCTCCTCAGCAGCTGTGTGCTGACTCCTATGGTAGTATGTCAGCATTTACTTAACCCTATGTGGTGCAGGGAAAACTTTACACATGTGTTCAACAAATGAATGAAACACTGCAAACAGGAAGTAACTAGCATTTGCTTTTAGCACGGACTTGTGCCAAGTAATTTATATAGGGCGTCTCATTTAATCCCTTAAAAACTCAAATAGGAAGTACCTCTAAAATTTGGTCTTTAAAATATTCATTACTGTCAAGTACAAAGGGTAAGAAAATACTCAAGAAGCCTACTTGTCACTTCAATGAACAAATGTTACCGTAAGCTTACAGTTCACAGTAAGAATGTTTCTCAAAAGCTTCAACTTTGTTTATAATTTTTAATTAGGGTAAGTACAATCTTAACATTGTGGGGATAATTACATAGAAACAGGAAGACGTTAATTAGATCTGACTTGAAACCATAATCAATTAAAGATACATGACCTTCATTCACAAGAAAACATGGGCCTATTATTCAAATAGTTGACACTTTTTTTTTGAAACTTTAAAAATTTTTTTTAATTTTATGTGTATGCATGTATTTACATGCCTGCATGTAGGTAGGTGCACCTGTGTCGTGCAACGCCTGAGGTCAGAAGAGGCTGTCGGATCCCCTGGGACTGGAATTAAGGACAGTTGTTAGCTGCCATGTAGGTGCTGGGATTTGAACCTGTGGGTCCTGCAAGAAAAACCAGTGTTTTTAACCACTGAACCATCTCTCCAACCCCTACTTTTCTCTTCTTACAGGCAAAAGAAATAATGAAAAAGTGTTTGGATAGGCGAAAGGAAAAGAAGGAAGGACAGGAAAAGAAGAAAGCCAAACTTGGGTAATAAGGAAAGGTTATCTATACTTAGTTAAAACAACATTAAATAGAGCAAAAAAACCCCTCAATTTTCTTGGGATAAGCACCAATTCAAAACAATGATTAACAAATGACCATGTAAAACCATTATACTTGTTCTAGAAAAAAAGGGGGGGAATGGAAGGGTTGGGGACACTCAGAAGTGGGGAAAAAAGCAAAGCATAACTCGTCATCAATAACTATGTTAGCATTTTAATTTTGGCAAAATGAACCAAACCCATCCATTCTTCAATTAGATATTCAACCAATGAAATTTTACTCTAAAACCATCAGGTACGGAACTAAACTTCATCTGTTATAGAGGTAACCTTTCTTAAAGCCTAACTACACTGTGTAGGACTTAAGATGTATGCAGTTCATGTGGTTCCTGTTCTTTACTCTCAGTAAGGCTTCTGAAAAACACTATTAAAGTATCAGGACTATAAACCCAACTATTTTAATGAAAGTTTAGCCTTTCTCCTAACACCTTCTAATGATATACAAAGTTACAAGAGCCTGAAAAACAAAAAACAAAAAACAAAAAACCCCAAACATTAGCAACCTAAGCAGGAATCAAAGTTGGATACATGTGGAAGACTGGGAACCCTTTCTTGGACTGTCTCCTTTATGAGGGATTAATGCCTTAATCTATTTTAAAGAGTATCACATTAGACACCACACACACACACACACACACACACACACACACACACACGGAATAAGGTCAACACATCTAAAAAGAAACTATTACACTCCTTTATAAACAATATACTCCCAAGTTCTTGAAACATTTCTGTTTTAAGAAACTTAAAAAGATCCAACTTTAATTTTAGTTATATTGAAGTAAATAAAACCATTAGTCTTAAACCTCTGCAAACCAAATACTTACTGAAGTCTTTGTTGAATGATTATAGAAAAGAAAGTGAAACTGACCCCAAGTAAAAAACAAGTGCAACCAATTATTCATAAGTTCTGCACTTTGAATGATACCATAAAAACAATTATTTTAAAATGTACACTTTGAAGAAATGTACTTTATAAACATGTATGTGAACCTAGAATCGGGCTGTTACTTTGTAAACAGACGTTAACTAGTTTTCCAACACTTTTTGTTACTTCAGTGTATTTACTTGAAATAAACCATAAACAAGCAAGCCCTAAGGCATTCGAGAACATAAAAGAGCTATTCAACAAAAGTAATCTCAACTGTATTCATTCTAGGGAGGTTAAAGTCCTAGATTATAAAACTTTGGTTCCGTCAAATTTTCATTTCAGACATCTGAACCCGATCCCTCCCATCCGCCCTTTTCCCCAGGTAAGTTGGTTCTCTCTGCCCCAAAGATAAAGAACGTGAGGGAGGGAGGCTCACATGCTTTTTGGGAGGGGGACCAGCTGGGCTCCTCCTCTCCTACTCTCTCCTGGCCGCCCGCCCTCCTTCGGATGCCCGCTCCGGCATCAAGTCCGGCACTGCGCGGAGGAGCCAGGTGGCGCGGCCCGGGGACGCCGGGGGTAGCAAAGTTTGTCCCGCTTGGGGATGGGATGGAGTGGGGGCGGGGAGGCAGGCCCCGAGCTTCAAGGGGCGCCCCGGGCGGGAGGTGGCAGCCACGCGGGGGTCGGCGGGAGGGCCCCTGATGCCGGCTGCACAATCCCCGGCGTGCACACGCCCACCCCGGCAGCTCCGAGCCGGCCGGGCGGCCCCGCAGCGGACCGCTACAGCCTGGCCCGGCCCCCGGGCCTAGGGGGCAGGCTGGGTCCGGCGGGGGTGGGAGCGCGGTGGCCATGGCAACCAGGGGGGTCCGGCCCTCCCCGTGCAGCCCTGGCGCTCCCTCGGCGG